ATCAGGGGGTTCCTTCTTGAGGAGTACAATGTGATTACGGCGAAGGAAAAGTAGTTGTTGCTGCTGGGAAAAAAATCACTCTTAACTTCTCTCTCACCCAAGCTTCCAGAGGGAGCTTCTGTTCAAACAGCAATGGATCCTCCACTGGGTTTTGAGAAGGTCATGTGAAAGGCAACTTCTGGTAAACAAGTCCCCTTCTCTGGAGATCTTCAAGCCCTGCCTGGATGCCATCCTGAGTGATGTGCTCTGGGCAACCCTGCTTTGGCAGGGGAGTTGGACTGGATGGTCTCTAGAGATCCCTTCCAACTCTGACAATTCCACGATTCCGTGATTCCATGACTGATGAGGCTGCCAAAGGAATAAGAAAAATCTCTGATACTTTTCCTCACAAAGAAATCTTCCCTGTCCCTTTCTTCATGTGGCCTCCAAAACACAGTTTGCCCATGTACCTGGCATATATGTCTGTGTGTCGTCAAAATAGCTGGTGCAGATCAGGCAGCGTTGTGAATTGTGTCTAACACTGAGTATCGGTTTTAAAACGATGCTTTTTCCACATGCCTTTTAATTTTAAACTTCTGAGCCTTTGTTCAGTTATTGTGGGCAGGTCTCTATCACTTGCTGTGTGGTTCATCTCCAGTTGTATGCTCAGTCCAACTTTAAATCGAAAAGGCATAGTTACAAGATTTTTAGGAAATATCCTGACTTTGGGTGTAGCCTCCTGCCCACATCTGACAGTGTTCAAAGTATCTCACAAAGATCAGCTATTCCAAGCTTCTGCAATGTCTCAGGTCAGTTTACTAGTATTTTCATACAAAATGAGTTTTGTTTGGTCCTGTCACCAAGAAGATCTGCAATGTCTCAGGTCAGTTTACTAGTATTATTTTCATACAAAATGGGTTTTGTTTGGTCCTGTCACCAAGAAGGAGCTCCTTGGGTGTAATCAAAGTTAATTGAGAAAGTAAGTGGCTTTGCCAAAATTAAGAATCTCACATGAAGCTTCACCACAATTATTCTGGTGGAACTTGCTTTATCTAGGACCCCAAACTCTACTAGGTTCTGGGTTTGATTTTTTTTTTAACACTAGAGATGATTCCTAAGCCACAGCATTTAGATCTGGAAGTCTTTAGAGGTTTCTAGATCTTGTGGTTTTGGTTGAACCAGTTTATCAACTTGTAAACAGTTTTCAACTTCCATAAATGCTTACATACTTGATGGCTAGATTTGAATTTACAACTCAGGATGTTGTGATTCAGAGAAGTCACTGTGCCTGGAGTGCTGGTGAGACTTTCTCAGTTCAGTGGCGTGAATGGGAGAGACCTACCAAGAACCAGAGCTTTGGTACTGGGCCCAGAAGGTTCAGAAGATAATATGCACTTTCAGTGGGCTGTGCAGATTTTTGGAGTTAGACAGAAATAAGATGTGCTGGGTATTTGCTCCCTTTCATAAAGCGTCAGGCTCACACCTGTTCTTTGGAGAGAGATCCATGGCTCACCCATGGTTTGAGAGCCACCTTGTGAAGGTCTTCAGACTCCCTTGGGCATAGTTCCGTAATTTTCCAAAGCTCAATTCCAATTAACAAATTTGAAGCCTACCACCTAAAGGCTTACGCTAGATTTCTGGGCAAAGATTTCAGAAAATTTGTGGTTCTTTAAATGATCTTGATGTAAGATCCAATCATTGAGAGATGCATAGAAGAGTTTACACTGTGTTGCCCTCAAGCTTTCTGACCCAGTCAGTTCCTGCTCCTTCTACTGTGTTTGTCCAGGTGTGCTCTCAGTTCCTTGCCTGGCTTTGGTGCAGTGGACAAATTCTGCTGTCAAGGCAACAGAAAGTGGGTGCAGAGCTCTACCTTGGCATTATGGAGTGATTCTTTCGAGGGATTCCATAATGTTATAGTTGCTGGTCTGGTTGCAGAAACACAACCTCAGATTTTTACGAACCCTGCAGGGACTGTGGGATATCCTTAGTGCAGAAGTATACTTCACTATCAGAACACAACAATATCAAATCTTGTCATCTTCGAAGATGCTACACAGTAGGTACAGAGTATGTGTATGTGTGTGTAGGAGGCAAGCTGGAAATTAGGAGCATGAAGTTTGTGGTTGGAAAGAGAAGAAGGCAACAATGGAGGAGGCCCTAGGCCCGTTTGATGCTGGTGGCGAGTGTCTAGAGGAGAAAGAAGAGGGATTCAGTTCTTTTGATGAATTATTCTGCACTACAGGCTTTCTAACGTGTGGTTCTTTAAAGAAAAAATGTCCACTTTTCTCTGCACAGTCTCCTGTCAAAGTGCTCTGCAGGAATCAGTGTTGCCCCAGTACTCTTCTCATAGAGAACATGGATAATAATTGCCTTTTTGTTTTCTTCAAAGATACTAAAACACTGGAGTGATTTCCAAGGTGCTGTTGCTCCTAGTCCTTATCCCATGGATGTCTTCCATGATCACAGGTGTGACCTTTACTCAGTCTCCTCATCCTCTTCACTTTTGATTCAAGTTATTTCTGGAGAGCAGGTATCAGTCTGGTTTTGCATGGTCTGTCTGTATTATGTCCTTTACTCGAGTTGAATGGAGGGGTATGTCGCTTACTGCCCCTGGGTCTCCTGGCTCAGTACGGAATCACAGAATGACATGGGGTTGGAAGGGACCTCTGGAGATCTTCTAGTCCAACCCCCCTGCCAAAGCAGGTCCATCCAGAGCAGGTTGCACAGGAACTTGTCCAGGCAGGTTTTGAATGTCTCCAGAGAAGGAGACTCCACCACCTCTCTGGGCAGCCTGTTCCAGTGCTCCGCTACTCTCAAAGTAGTGCTTCTGTCACAAGGGCCTTCTCTGAGTCCATTTAGAGAAAGAAACTGCAGAACTAGAAGCTACGCACATCCTTTCTGTGCTCTGTTTCAAAGACTTTGTTCAGGCCTGTTCCAGTGCTCTGCTACTCTCAAAGTAGTACTTCTGTCACAAGGGCCTTCTCCGAGTCAATTTAGAGAAAGAAACTGCAGAACTGGAAACTGCACACATCCTTGCTGTGGTCTCTCTGTTTCAAAGACTTTGTTCAGATCTATGCCACCTGTGCAGTTCTCAGCCTCTGCCTTCAATGCAGGTCCTTCAAATGTATGTTCCTGTGACCAAGAGCCAGGTTTGCCAAAGTCAAGCAAGGAATAGAGACTGCACCTGGGCAAACACAGTAAGAGGAGCACGGTGGGCCAGGGTCAGAGAGCTCTCCCCAGGGCTGGCCCTGGTGGGTGCAGCTCCTGTCAGAAGTCTGCCAGCAGCTGGATCTCTCTGGCTACAGTTCATTGATTGAGGACAGATCTGGCTGGGGCTTTCTGTAGGAAAATCTCTGGTTTTAGACAAAAATTTATAGGTTCGCCTGCCATTCTCAGTAACATGACCTTCCCTCACAAAGAGACGAGAATGGGGAGCGTGTGCCCATCAAAATAAAATGTTGTCTGGTCTTCCTTGCCTAGGAGCCTAGCACTCATTTAGACCATCTCAAAGCTGATTTCTGAAATCAGTTGGGATATCTGGCCTCTGGCCAGTTATCTCCATCAGTTGAGCAGTTGAAAAAGTCACTTGAGACAAAGGCAATGGTAGCTCTGTCAGCTCCTGTACATAATGTAGAGCTCCCATGATGCGTGGTTGTTCTAGTGAGGCTCAGTGATGGAGGTAAAATGGAGATCAGTCTTCCCATCCCTAGCTGGAAGAAGGGTGTGGAGAGCCTTGGGAACAGGATCCCAAGTCAGGTGGAAATTTCTAGGCATCCTGGAACCTGATTTTATCAGACAGAAAGATCCCAACTGCCTGCTTAAGTGAGACCATGTTGGGACCCAGATATGGAAAGCTTGGGCTGCATCAGCACAGAGTACTGGGAAATATTTCTGGGCACAGAACTGTAGCTGTTTGGATTATTACGGCAGTCCCTGGTACGTTTAGGCCTGGGTTAGCTAATGCTGTCTCACACAAATCTCAGATGCAGTTTGAGAGTTTAATGCAATCCATGTACTGCTCATGACAGGCACGTGGTGACTGTCCTTTTCTGGAGCTGGTTAAACAGCATGATTGTCTACCCTTCTGGACAGGTTGTCGTCAGTGCTAGAAAATGTCACAGAATCACAGAATCACAGAATCTTCTAGGTTGGAAGGGACCTTCAAGATCATCTTGTCCAACCGTCAACCACATGTTTAATTTCTGAGTTTTAACCTGAGCCTCGGATTCAAAAACAGAGCCAAAAGGCTGTATCCCTGTACCGTTGACTGTTCAGACCCAGACATGAACAACGGGGACCAGGAACCAGTTCCTGAGACCCCCTCCTTGCAAATGGTGCCGTTGCTAACAGCTGCTGCAGGGAGCTGGTGGAGACCACTGTTGGCCAGTGTATATTTCCATTTCCCTCGTTGTATACAGGGAAGAAAAAAGCAAAAGTCATTAGTGGTTGCTGGCTGGTGGTACAGTTGCTACAGCGCTTCCTCGCGCTCATGTAAGGATTGGCTCAAGCCAAGCAGCCTAAGGAGGTCCACATCCCTGTCCTGAATGACAACACTGCCTGCTGCGTGCTGGGGTGAGCTCTTGCTGCTGGCTGCACAGCAGCAATCCATTTCCAGCCGAAACAAAGGGACACAAGTGACAAGTGATCAGGACCTGGCCTGGGTCACCGATCAGCACGGTTCTCTCTGTTGGGTTTTTGTTGGGGTTTTTTTGTTTTTTGTTTTTTTTTTTTTTCTTTTTTTCTCCATGAAAAGTCCATCTGGTCAGATGTCTCCATGGCAGCCTTGCAGGAGGGGATGTTCTGAACTGGTGGATGGCAGCCAAAGCAGCTGCTATTGGCTAAGGGGCACTTGGCACTGCGTGTGGGCTCCGGAGAGAGGAAAAGGTGGGGAGAGACTGGCTCCTCCCTGCATCCCACTTCTTCATTTAGGCTGTGCTAGGAAGAAATTACCCCTCTAAAACCAGCTTCAGTGATTTCAGAGGAAGAGGTCCGTTGGAGATTGGGCAGCAAGAGCCCCCAAGATGAGGACAGCTGTCCTCCTCAGCCTTCTGTTCCACATTGCAGCTGCTTTTCACCAACTGTGAGTGATGCTTAACCTCTTTTTCGGTCTCAGTCTAGGTAGACGGACCACATTCTGTGCTGTCAGCTCTCCTGCTTCCTGCTCTATCAGACCACCCCAGAGAGTAGCTGAGAGTCATTTGCCTGGCCTGCCATGCCTTAGATTGACTCCTGAGAGTTAAAATACAAGCTACCTTTGTGGGAGGTTTCCAAGTCAGACCTTAGGCCCAAGGATGTTTGCTTCTCCAGTTGCCACACCAGATCAACTCACTGGTGTATAGACTGCAAGGCTGAGGCCACTTCTGAAGACTGCAAGGGATGGTTTTCGGGAGTTCAGAGGATGACTGGAGTAAAGGGTTTGAAGTCAATTATAGGGCTGTACTTAGGGTAATCAAGCAGAATTGATTTCTCAAGTTACCAGTGAAGGAATCACTTCCCTGGGTTCACTGTTGCTTTTGAATCTTGATTGCAGCCATGGCACATTGTCTGCAGTAATTCTGCAGTAGTGGGCCACTGCAGGAAAGCACTTTTGCTTCTCTGAGCCCTCAACCTGATGCCACCTCTGATGTCTTCTTTCCTCTGCCCCAGACATTACCTGGTGGTGATCCCTGCAGATCTCCGCTACCCATCCACCCAAGTTGTCTGCCTCCATATCACCTGTTTTGGAAAAAAACTTCAAGTGAATCTGGTCCTAGAGCGCTCGGCAGGACGCGAGCTCTTATTGCAAGAAACCATCCAGAAGGAGAAGACTTTCACGTGCACTAAGTTCTGGGTGAGCCACCCCAGGCAAATGCCATCGCTGATTTTCCTTTCAGGAACTGTAAATCCCTTGTGTTACTCCCTAACCAGGGATGACATGGACAGGGTCTACTTTGCCTTAGAGTGAGCCTGCTGGGAAGAGGAATGAGTGGTGCCTTGGGATACGTAGCCCAGCACAGTCTCTGTTGGTCAGCGCTGAATTCCCCTTCTGAATCTAATTTTTAAATTGAAGTTACATTTGTTATACTCTACCAGGCTTCTGGATACATAAGAAGAACCCACCCATTTCCTTCTTTTTCCATCCCAGACCAGATGAAGCAGCTTTAGCTCTTCTCTGAAGGACTTTTGCAGCTCCACAGTGAAAGCTTGGGGAAATGGTGGTTTGCATAACATACTGCAGTTTCAGTAGGACCCTACATCAGGCAGCAGCTCAGCTCTTAGGAGCTACTGAAGAGCAGTTGAATGGAAATGGATGTGCTTCTAATTTTTAAACAACGTCTTAGAGCTGATTAATTGTTGGTGGGAATTTAACAAAGATGTAGAATAAGGCAGACATGCCTAAACAGTATCCCTTCTACTATACAGTATGTTCTGTGCTGAGGCTGCTGGGGTCTTTGGCTGCTGGAGTTGGGAAGACCCTTTGGTTGTCTTTTCTAATCTTGCTTTCTTGTACATGCTGGGCAGTTCTGAAGGCCTAGCATTTGGGACTGTGCTACAGCTCAGTCTCTCTCCTTTGAGTCTGTGCTACCATCTCCCACCTTTCTGGCATCTGTCCATTTTCCTGACTAAGCCTGAAGACTCTTGAGGTGTCAAGCACCTGCTTGTCTCCAGAGGCAAAATTCTTTAGCCATTGGGAAAAAGGACAGGCTCTGTGATGTGCAGAGCCTCCTACTGTCAGGTAGGACTGAGTGAGATCTGCATATCATCTGGATCCAGATGTTGGAGGGTATGTCCTAGAACAGTGGAGGTGAACTGTTTAGTTCTTCCAGTTACTCTCTATTCCTGCTCAGGGCCTTCAGAAGATTACCTGGGGCCTGCATGCTCTCCTCTCTCGGTCTGTACAGGTTGCACCTCCAGTTAATGGCACAGAGGAGATTGCCAGTGTCAAACTGATCATCACAGGTGAAGGGGTCAGTATCGAGGAGAAGAAGAAGGTCCTGATCCGTAAGGCAAGCAGTGGCACCTTCATCCAAACAGACAAGCCCTTCTATCAACCAGGGCAGACAGGTGAGAGATACAAGTGGGACCAACCATGGGCTCTAGTTTGTCTGCTGGTAACACTATAGAAAGCCTCTGATTGACTGAAATTCATGGACAGCCCTAGCAGAAGGCTTTGAGATGATGCCTCTTGCTGATGAGATGTTTTCAGTGTCCAGCTTGTGGTGACTGAAGTTGCAGGAAGCAGTAGGTCATTGTCTGTGGTGTCTTACATGTGGTAATGTCTGCGTCAGGTGTTACCACAAATATGTATAGAATGGAGACAGGAGCTGGAGAAACAGATAGAGCAGGGCTCTGTAGGGAAGAACTGAAATCTGATAAATATATTCCTTGATTTCCTTTTGCCTTCAGTGAAATTTCGCGTTGTGACTCTGGATGAGGACTTTGTTGCACTCAACAATTCGGTAAGCCATCCCTTGAGGGCAGTGGAAAAGCCTGCCCTGCTCCATACGTAGAGCCTACTTCCTTTCTACCCTGCTCATCTGCTGAAGCAGCAACTTTTCCCCATTCATCCCCGGGCCAAGCCCGATGAGGAAGACAGTAACTCAAGTAAAAGCTAGTAACTCAGGGAAATGGCAGGAGTTTCCATGTCTCTTGCTCATCTTGGTAAAATGGCCATGCAAGCACAGGTGTGGGACATTCTGCTTCTTGATGTGATGGTGTCATGTGGGGAGTGAATAGTGTGCAAGTTGGGTATTTCTGGACGTGTGGTGGGGAGGGGTGCTCAGTCTGGCTCCTCTAAGTCAGAACGTGGGAAATTCTGATCGGACAATAGGAAAAACTTTTTCATTGGGACAATGATCAGATACTGAATCAGGAGCCCAGAAAAGGCATTTTCATCCTTGGAGATGTTCAAAACTCAACTGGAGAAGGCTATGAGCAATCTGCTCTAAGAAGACGTGCTTCAGCAGTCTGCTGGACTAATGACCTCCAGAGGTTCCTTCCAAACTGCGTGATCCTGTACCTCTAAAACCCCCTTAAGACTGCAGCTGAGCCAGAGCTAGGTGTGTTTTGGCAGTGAGTTTTCCTTATAGATGACTCTGCCAGGAAGTCATTAGCAAGTGCTGGTTGACCTCCAGATTGGCTTTTGCTTTTCTTTTCTTCTGACCTTACTGTAGCAGACCCACCCAGTATTTCTCCTTTTTGGTGACATTTGTTTTACTTTATACTGTTGTCAGTGCTCTAAATTTCCAAGTCATTAGTTTCACATCTTTCAGAAGATGGTCTGCATCTGAAGTACCTTGTGTGTGTTGCTGGCATGTGTTTCAGTCTTCTAATGTTTTTGCCTTTTTTTCCTCCCCCAGATTTCCCTGTTTCTCCAGGTGAGTGATGCTGAAATCTAGTATTACAGTAATCTTGACAGCAGCCATTTCACAGGGCTGTTCATATTCAGTTCCTGATAGATATTACAGACCTGTGAGTGGAATGGTAAAACTTCAAGATTTCTTAAACTAACATACTCCCTACAGCTTCTGTTTTGTGCACTTGAGATTATGCTCCCAGTTACTTCAGGTAAGATCTGAGTTGTTCTAGACTTGCAAGAATATAGACAGATAACTTGGACCTTTACAAAAAAGGATTAGAGCTGCGAAGGATCTTTCCTTGAAATCAGAATTTAGAGAAGTGTAAAAGGAGACTCAGATGCTGTGAGCAGCATCTGAGCATTATATTGTCTTCAAAATTTCATAACTAGCCTATACCAAACTTCCTTAGATATAGAACCTGGTAGTCTGCAGCTCTGAAATCCTGAAGCTCAATTTGTGTGGAGTGTGGGTCAGTGAGATGCTGGAACAACTGTTTCTTCCTCTCTTGTGGGTGTAGGACCCTAAGAACAACCGGATAGAGCAGTGGCTGAATGTAGTCCCCAAAGACGGCATTGCAGATCTGTCCTTCCAGCTAAGTGATGAGCCTCTGCTGGGGACATATGTCATCAACGTAACCAATGCACAAGCGTATGGCAGCTTCTCCGTTGAGGAGTATGGTATGAGCACGTGGGGGATATGTCTGACCTACAGAGAGGACCTCACACTCTTGGTCGGGAAGCTGGGTGTTTATTCCGTGATAACCATACTGGGAGCAAATGGGAAGAGTAATAACATGTCATAGAAAAGAGTCTGAGCTGAGGCTCAGGAGAAAGACTGATTTTGGACCTTGTGTCAGTGTGTGAGAGGAATGTTGTGTGTAACCCCAGACCTTTGATGCAACTGATGCGTACAGATCTCTGTGTCAGCCAAAAGAAGGTCATTTGGGATGGGCATTTCCAGAGAGTTTGAAATCCAGTGCCATCCCACTTCCCTTTCATTCCCTAATTAACTGTGTTGTTAGTCTAGTCGTCTTTCAGTTTCAACAGCTGTCAAAAGTGCAAGGACGTAGACATGTTTGGATTTTAGTTTGGGAAGGAGCAATCAACCAGGGACTGCACACGTATCTGTTAAAGTAACAATAGAAATCTTCCCTTTCCCCTTTTTACCACCTTCCTTCTTAATTTCCTGGCTCTTATTCCACCATAGTTCTTCACTATGAGAGTGGTGGAGCACTGGAACAGGTTGCCCAGGGAGGTGGTTGAGGCCCCATCCCTGGAGATATTCAAGGAGAGGCTCAACGAGGCCCTGGGCAACCTGGTCTAGTTGGGGGTGTCCCTGCTGACTGCGGGGAGGTCGGACTAGATGACCTTTGGAGGTCCCTTCCGGCCTGGGAAATTCTATGATTCTATGATTCATAGTCTATCTTCATGTTGATTTTCTGGGAAGGCTGTCCCTGGCCAGTGTGTCCTACAGTTGTCTGTTTTGTCTTTCCAGTGCTACCAAAATTTGAAGTGATCTTGGAGGCGCCAAATCAGATTTACATGCTAGATAAAACCTTCCCGCTCCGGGTATGTGGCAGGTGAGGATTTTGCTTGGATGGATGGCCCTGTGTTAATTTCTGGCCTGTTGAGCACAAGATGGCTAGGTAACCATGAGAAGCTCAGGGGAAGTTTACTACCTTTCAGTCACAGAAGGCCAGAATCTTCCACGGCAGTTGTTTATGCCCTGATGCAACACACAAAAAACCCCCTTATAACTATCCTTCTAATGTTCTAATGACCCTTTTCTAAAAACGTACCACAAGTCTCTACACACAAAACCTGGGGGAACAACGTGTTCTTTGATAAGCAGCCATTTGTGGGGCAGAACGTGGCAGATGTTTGGTGTTCATCTCCTTGCAGAACAAACTCGTGGGAAATGAAGGGAAGCTTTTCCAGGTTATGCCCTGGACGAAACTAGAAAAAGGCAAAAAGGAATTGCCCCATGTAGGGTACAAGGGCAACGCTAGGGTTAACAGACTCATGTAAAGGTGATTTCTGAACGAAAAGCACTTTCTTAATCACCCATGCTTCTGCTTGTAAGATGATGGGTACCTTCAGCATATCCTGGGGTTATTGCAGGTGATGCTGATATAAAGTGCCGAGCTCTATGCTGAGTCAGCACCTGCAACATTCTGTTTTCCCAGAATAGGTTAGTTTAGCACTAATTCCATCACAGAGCCCTCCATCTCCCATCACTGCAGTGCCCTAGCCTGGCCCTGCTCACTTGGTCAGGGCTCCTGGGCCTGCCATGTGGCTGCCACTCTTGTGCCATACCCTGAATATCCATGAATAAGTGGTCTCTGGGGCGATGCAAAGCAAGCCCTGCGTTCTCTCACCATCTGCGACTGTCTCTTCTTTTCCCTGCTTCCCCAAACAGGTATCCCTATGGGAAAGGCGTCCAGGGGATGGTTCATGTTAGCCTTTGTCAGAAGATAGCCCCGTTCCTGCCCAATTCTTTTAAACCCCATCTCTGTCAGGAGTTCAGCAACCAGGTGAGATGCCCAGCAGGAGCTGAGCTGTATTCAGAGACGTTTGTGCTCAGCCCCAGGGTAAGGCAAAGTTGCTGGAGGCTTCAGCTGAAACAATAGTGATGTTACCCAGTGGTTTTGGCTGCTTGGCCAGTTTTCTACTGGTGCTGCCTCTCAGTAACTGTGCCTGGTGACTGTGACCAGGTGTGCATCATGTGCCTGCTCCACAGCCTGGACTGCTATCCCAAAAGGCAAGCTCCCTGAAAGCAGGGATTTCTCACGGCTGTTTCTGCCCCATTTGGGTAATTTCTAACGTAAGTGCCTTGCTCAGACCTTGTTTCCTCTCTTTGTGCTTTCAGACAGATGAGATGGGTTGCTTCTTCACAAATGTGAGCCTGTCTTCCTTCAGTCAAGACTTTCGGTACTATCAGGACAGCATAGTTGCAGAGGCCCTGCTGGTGGAGGATGGCACAGGTAACTCTGGAAACGGCAGGTGGCTGGGAAGAGGCATGTGGAGATGCCCTTGCAGGCTAGGAAGGGCTCTGAGCTTTCTGAGGCTGTTGGGGCCTGCCATATAATCTCACAGATACGGAGAATCACAGGATCCTCATGGTTGGAAGGGACCTTTGAGATAATCGAGTCCAACCACAAAAAAAAAAAAAAAGAAAGAAACCCACACAAACAAACCACAGACAGACACAAACCAACGATCTCAGGCACTAGAGCATGCCCTGAAGTGCCACATCTACACATTTCTTAAATACCTCCAGGGATGGGGACTCCACCACCTCCCTGGGCAGGCTGTTCCAGTGCCTGACCACCCTCTCAGTAAAGTAATTCTTCCTAAGATCTAATCTAAACCTCCCCTGCCACAACTTCAGACCATTTCCTCTGCTCCTGTCATTATTCCCTTGGGAGAAGAGACCAACCCCCACCTCTCTACACCCTCCTCTCAGGGAGTTGTAGAGGGCAACGAGGTCCCCCCTCAGCCTTCTCTTCTCCAAACTAAACAGTTCCTGGTGGCATGACACACTCGCTCTGAGCCCCTGCAGTCTCAGATGGTGAGGCTTAGGGACCTCTCAAAGGGCTAAAAGATACCCAGAGCCCTGGGGAGATCATCTCTGGTACGAAATGTGTGTGCAGCTGAACATGTGCATCAGTGGGTCACCCAGCAGGGAGACTGCTGAGGGGTGCTTGGCTTCCTTGCTCCCTCCCTTATGTTTCTGTCTTGCTGCTTTCATTCAGACATACAGGTCAATGCTTCCCACAAATTATTCATCTCCAAGATTGGTGGGATGGCCTTGTTTGATGATGTGAATTCTTACTACCACCCTGGAGAGATGTACAGAGGGAAGGTAATTCCCAGTTACGGTCCTTTGGAGGGGACAGCGTGAGCAATGCTTTCATGGCAGCGGTTACCCGGTGTCTCTTCCGACCTCACCTCCAGCCAGGGGCTTGGGAGGGCATGAATGACTCCCAGAGACAAAACTCTTGAATTGTCAAAAGTGAGAATAGCACCCAAGACTGCCCTTTGCCAAATAAGCCTTGAGTGGCAGCAGCTGTGGGGATCCATATGTGGGGTGCAAACTCAAACACTTGGAATAGCAGCAGCCAGGAGACCTTCTGCTGTGAAGGGGTAGAGAGTGTGGGGGTGAATGGACACGGTAGTGCAAACAATAGCAGAAGGTCATCAGTAGCAGGGTTTATAGTATTGTTAGTGACTGGAAGGGTGACCTTGCTGTCTTCTGTGATTCTGTGAGATTCTGTCTGCTGATTAGAGCCTTCTGCACTTCTCTTGCTCACCATGATGTTCTCAGATTAAAGTCATTGACCTCCAAGGCAAGGCACTGAAGCACAAAGAAGTCATCCTCACATTAAGCTGCGGTGAGCAGCAGTTTAAGCAGAAGTACATCACTGGGGACTCTGGGACAGCTTCATTTAGCCTGAACACGACTGCTTGGAACAGCACCTTGGCCTTGCTGGAAGTAAGTGAGGAAGGATCTGTCTTGTTGGCAGGGGTATGGCATGCACCTCAGAGCTATTTACTGCCCCACAGACATCTCCCCTGTCCCTTCCTGAAGGACAGTAATTCAAACCTGAAACACCTCAGCGTATTCTGGATCTTGGCCCCCTCTGAGAGCTTATTCTCCAGATCCCAGTTGCTTTCCTCGTGAAGTCTCCACACAGAGACCTGTGCTATGGGGTTGCTCAGAGCTGATCTGAGCTTCTGACCAAGCCACAGCTAGGGTGATCTGCAGCTGACTGGCTTAACTAACTGAACTGCGAGTTTGTTGGGGTTTTTTTTTGTCTTGCCAGGCAAGTGTCCTGCATCAAGATTTGGATAAAGAGGCTGGGACAGTTGATTTGAGTTACCAGCAAGCCTCTCATCTCATACGTCCATTCTACAGCACCAGCAGGAGTTTTCTCTCTATTGTCCGCGTACCAGGAACGATGCCCTGTGGTGAAGAGCAGGCTGTCCAGGTGGACTTCAGAGTTTACAAGGAGGACCTGGAACATGGGCCCAAGCGTGTCATTTTCTCCTACTTTGTGAGTTTCTGGGGAAGTGCTGCTGGGTGGTGGCTCAAGGCACAAGATCAAGATATCCTAGGGATCAAATATCAGGCTTGTGAAAGATTTGGCTCAGCCCAGGACAGGTAGCTTATCCAGCCATCATGGGGCTGGATCCTGGTTTCAATCCTGGGGCTGCAGTAATGGCAAGAAAGGCTCCTCACAGGTACTGGGCAGGTATTGGCTTTACCTGTCCTCCCCCAAGTCTCTTGATCCCCTGAGCTCTCCCTGCCACCTGAGATTGAGTAAAGCTCATATCCCTCCTCCCCGCCCCCCCAGCCTTTAATCTCCAGTTTTGGGGGTACTTTGATCTGCAGAGTGACCTCAAGGACTACGTGACTGGCATTCCCGCAATCCTTCTTTGCCTTTCTGTATTCTCCCCTAGGTCACAGGGAAAAGAGGGATAGTCCATGCAGGTCAGAAGACTGTTTGGGTTGGGCTGCCAAGAAGTAAGTGCACTCCCCTGTTTCACGCGTAGCAAGCTGTCCCTGCAAGCAGCATGAAGCTACAGCCTTACCCTCTGTCAAAACTCTCGCACTTCAGTTTGCAATCGTGTCTACAAATAATCTTTGAGTAATTAGGATGCCACAGCCTATCATTTTGGCAGGTGTTGACTCACTGTTGTCTACTTCTCCAGCTCTTTTTCTTTTTTTAATCCTAAATTATAGGTGCTTTGGGACAAAGGTCACATCTTCAGGGATGGGGTGGGAGAAGTTTGGGGATGGGAGGCTTTGAAAGATGTCTCTCCACTCTTTGTGGAGCTAAGTCTGAACTCCAAAGAGCTGTTTCATCTCCTTGAGGGAGGAAGAGTCTTTTGTTGGTCTGGAATACCAGATCCAGAGATGTGCTGATTGTTTCAGTGGCCTTCAGAAACCTCCTTGGTCCTGAAAGACTTGAGGAAAGGAATTGAGCACGCACATGCAGACTGGCAAAAGCTGGTCAGAGTCCATTTCCACTACCAAATCTACTTTCTCTTCTTCCCTCTCTCCTCCATCTAGTGATGGAAGGCTTCTTCTCCATCCCTCTTACCTTCAGCTCGATCTATGCCCCTACTCCAAGACTCGTTGTTTATGTTATCTTCCCTAATGGAAAAATCATTGCCGACTCTGCTGTCTTCAGCGTCTCCACGTGCTTCAGAAATAAGGTGGGTTTTGTGCCTGAGGCCATGACTGAAAGTGTGAGGGTGTGTGTTCCTACTGCAATGGAGGTAGAGACTGAGGAATACGTAACATGTGTAGCCCTGTGTGGCTCATCCTGTGTGGGATGCTGCCACGTGAACTGCAGCGTATGAGTGGTGAAGGGTGCTGTGATGTATGGAGTAAGGTACGTGCTGAGCACTGGGGGGCTGCTGCAATGTTTGGGAAAGGCAGAAAATTGGTGTCTGTCTCCATAGGATCTTGTAGCAACGGCAACCCTATAGGAACACAGGTTGTTAGTGTTGTAGCAACGGCAACCCTATAGGAACACAGCCCAGCACAGGTTGTTAGTAGGATTCCCAGGAGAGCTCAAGGCTGCTCTGCTGCTGCAGCAGGCACTTCAGCTTGTTGGTATGTGGTGTTGGGAATACAGCCGAAAGTGGCTGATAGAAAACCTGGATTTTAAACATGAAGAGGAACTTCTTCGCTTTGAGGGTGGCAGAGCCCTGGAAGAGGCTGCCCAGGGAGGTGGTGGAGTTTCCTTCTCTGGAGACATGCAAAACTCACCTGGACACGTTCCTGTGCAACCTGCTCTGGGTGGACCTGCTT